GGAACATGATCAAAATGCAGGTTAATAGTGGTAAATATTCACACTACATCAATGCTACACATATTGCAATTTCGCTTAATCAGATCCAGTAAGTAAGGAGTTATGACTGAAAAGTAGTACGGCTGAAGAAGCATTTGGCCGAATACTTTTGAGCGCTACTGTGCATTCGCGTTTTTCCCTTGGCGTGCCTAGTAGAAACTGATGTCCAATCATTGATGGTAAAGTTGCGAACGTTGAAATTTTTCCTGCCAAAATAATAATGCAGGTCACATCGCTGAGGCTGCTCACTACTTTGACGTCGATGTCAGTGCATCTACAGTCGTTACATCGATGTCTGTCCTACAAATAGGATATAAAAAAATGAAAACCTATTTTTAGCCGTAATTAATGCTTATTAGTTACCGGATGTGTATAGCTCACCTACTCTGAGAGCGTCCATACACTGGGTTGACTCCTTGTTCTTCCGTGATGTGAGCGAAAAACAGATATGAACAATGGCTTTGACTTATTTTTACGCGTGGGAGTAGAAATAATTGGATGGACTATGATTTGTTGGGAGTGATGTGGAGGCGTGGCATCTATAAAAACCCAACTTGAACCAGATCGAGCTGCCAGAAGAATCCTCTTTAATATCCTACTACTCTGTCTATTTTTCATATTTCTCTATGGGAAATTATCTTTATGTATCATCTCGCTTTCGCTTATAACGATTATCGTAGGCGCCCGGTTTGGGCGGCTTCGGATTACTGAGGCGCTCAAACCTCGCATAAAAATGGTTCCATATTGAAATTCAAAAACTCATGCTCAAAGATATATGTAGGCTCGTAATGTTCGAAGCTTACTATCTTTGAAATCTCATGAACACCTCACCACGTCTGTGAACAATCTAGTAGTGCAGTTTCAGTATAAATTATATAAGGCGCTGCGGATAGCATCTGCCAAAGTCTCGCAAACGTCCAGATTTTTCCAGAATTTTTGGAAGCTTCCAAAGGTTTTCTATGTTAGGGCACTGCCCACGGCCCGTACGCTTAACATATTCGACTTCATTTTCCCTGCGTAATCACCCAAAACGACCAGACTGTCTGCCCATATTCAACACGTACTTCTTCACGATTTTTATTATAATTGAGTCACTGCTGGAACCCTGTGCAATTCTTGTCAAAAATTTTGCCATGAAGTCCGTTTTCATTTGTGCACACCTCGACATTTCTCTTGCCTGCAAGAAAATGGTCGAAGATGAACATCGAACTGATCAATCGATGTCATAGAACCCCC